CCCCAAAACCCCAAAACCCCAAAACCCCATCAGAGATAGATAAGTGATATATTCGATAATTTTTGAATTTAAATTTCTATCAATTTATTAATGGAACCAGAAGAGACTCAAGTAGTTAGTGTATCAAGAAATATGTAGACTACAGCAGGATCATAAAACATAGGAGACTCAAAAACCTTTGATTAAATGCTCCAATGAATAGAGAGCCTAGAAAATTAATTGCAAACAAGCAAACTTAGAATATCCTCTATTGATAGAAGCCAAAGCATTTCCTCATTTAAGCAGGATGAGACCTAGAATTCACACATCTCACCTCTAAATGATCAATCTTAGCAAAATCTTTATCAATCAACTTCTAGAATCGGGTTATTTCAAAATACTTCTCCAAGTTTCTTGAGTAACTTTAGACAAACAACTCAGTATAGACAGTCATTAGAGCCTTAGCTTAGTACACCCAATCTCAATAGCAGTACTTTGAATAATAACATCTCCCTTCCTGTGTAATAATATAACTCTCTTATAAACCATAGATAACATCTTTTCTCACATAAAAGAGACCTATCTTAAAACATACTATCAACATCTCACCCTTATAGTACTAACCATTAAAATAACCCAATCAATACTCAAAGCACTGGCAAGCTGACTGATATATTTCTAGGTTTTGCAGAATAGTAGATGTAAAACAAAAAGGGCAGAGATAAGTCTCCCATTTCACCATTTTCAAATAAATGCAATGATGAGATCAATAAATATAAGGACCTGACATCCATCAAGGAAAAGTATTTGAAGAAGACTTCACAAATGTGCTAATAGTTATACACTCCTATTGCCAATAGAAATCTGAGTAATGTTCAAATGTACATCCAATCTTGCAAGAATCAAGGATATCGAAGAGACTTAGGATTTGAAGAGAATGAAAATCAAATGAAACAGCTGAACGATTCCAAATAAAGACTTGAAGATAGGTTCAGTTAATCAATGATGGAGCAGGATTCAAATGAGGTCGTGGCTGATGACAAGAAGATATAATAACTCATTGATAAGTTATAAGGAGTACTAGATTCATAGGATTTCAGAATATCTCAAAGACTAAAATGCTAATTCATTTAAACCCTAAATAAGCAAGTAAAGATTTCTAAGTTTCTTGAAAAAATAGCAAGAAATAAAGACTATTAGTGCAAGTATAGAACGCTAAGATAATTAAAGCAAAAATGTATGAAGAAACTTGTATTGCAGAACAAGCTCTATAGGATAATGAGTATTTTATAGAAGTATAGAATTACCTAGTAAGCCTAGAATTTCTACAAATGGAAGTATGATAGTCAAATAGAAGATCTAAACGAACAGCTCCAGTTAGAATAGAATGATCTGATCATTGAAAAATCTAAACTAGTTATGATGGTAGCATTTTCTAAACTGGATACTAAGCTATCAATCACAGGCAAAATCAAAGCATTAAACTAGATTAAGCTCAGGGCTCAATTTAACCAAAAATTGGCAAGTTTAGCTAGATTAAGGAGCAAATTCATAAAAAGATAAGCTGTTTAAAATTTTAAAAATAATGTGCACAAGTCATAGTAATAAAAGCATAAAATACTAAGAAGAATTTTAAATAACAAAATTAAGGCTAATATAAGTCTACTTTAAAAGAGTTTCATGAAATTTATTATCAATGAAAAGAAGAGTTATAATAGATACATTTCTTCCTAATAATAAAACTAGGTATAAGCTAATGGCGATAAGCATAAAAATTTCAAGATTGGAACAGAATAAAAATTATAAATGAAAGTTAGATAGCCTAAGGAAACAACATTCTATGGAATAAAAACTATTTAAAGGCTTGTTCACTCTTAGCCAAATCTAAATTATCAATATAATCATAAGTTAATCAACTTACATCAGAATAATAAGTAAAGTATAAAATCGTCAAAGAAAAGAAATAATCCAAAGCATTATAATAAAAAATCATTGCAAATAGTTGAAATAGATGTAGAGGAAAATGAAGAGGAATACACAGCAAAGTAGCTACTATAACCTAATCATTTCGCAATGAATCTAGCGGCAATAAACGATGAATCTCTTATCAGATTCTCTCCAAGTCATCATAGCAAGAGAAATTCTCTTTCAAACTATCACAGATTGAACATTAGTAACATACTCAAGAACGGTGGTTAGGATACCATTGATGAAGAAGATCATATAATACTGAGTAGATTGATCTAAAAGTATTAAAGAGATTTTAACAACCTCTCCTCAAATAACCCTGATATGGTTAGGAGACACAAATTACATGGCTCAAACTATTCGTTGTCAACTCTAAATCTTAATAGTCATGAAACACAAGGTGCAGGTCAGACAAGTAACATTCTGGGCAACAATATAAATTAACACATCAATACCTCTAATTAGAATAATGGATCAATGCTCCATAGAAAGCTTAATTCAATGGTCTAACTCGATAAGTCGAATTTCTTTAACCAACATGAATAGAACTCAAAGAATCATTAATAATATGCTTAAGACTCAGGACTATAAGGACATAAGAACAAATTTTAAACATAGGAAATGCTTTAGAATCTATTTGCTTTTGGATAATATACTCCTAATGGAGCCTAGGAGAAGCATATCATGATTGATGAAGAGGATGAGTATATGGATGATGGAGAAGATGATCAAGATGAGGGTGATCAGGATAACTCCATCGAAGAGAAGTTGTCTTTCACGAGTCCCAGCAGTGAAAGACTACGCAATATGAAAGGTAAAAGAGTCAATTCGAATAATATGATATTCAATGACCAAAGAGATAACTCTATCAGTGTAAGCAAAATAGAGGATGTAGAAATAGACCCCTAGTATCAGACTCATTCAAGAATTGAGTTTTAGCAACTGTAATAGCAAAATGAGGATGAAAATGGTCAAGGCACAAATAATAAGAAAGATTTTTCTTTCTCTATAGAAAAAGACAAAGATCAGTACATTTTTTCAGGCACTTAGGAAAGAGATAATATCAAAGTTAGAAGGAATAAAAAGAAGGAAGGTAATAGTAGAAACTATCATAAAAAATAATTGAATCTCAGCAAGCAAGAAAGGGAAAATATGGCTTTGAATGAACTCACTAATGTCCTCAATTAACAGTATATGATGCATTAGAATCTTAGATCTTCAGATTTAGTGGCTGGAGGTACTTATGGAGGTGGCAGCGTTGGCTACCATCCATTAATATATAACCCTTAACTTGAATAAGAAACAGCAAACTTTAATATTGGTGATTGGAATATAACAAGATCTCCAATGGGAAGTATCCATCAAAATTTATATCGTCCCTTAACTAGGAGCAGTTTAATTTGTAAGAGTTCATAGAGAAGTAATAAGCATCAGCAGAGTATTTTAAGCCAGATTTAAAATGAGTAGAATCATTTATACAGTAACTAGTTACTTAACTCCTAGAAATCTGGAGAGCGATAGCTAAGTTGCTAACGTAAGTTAATTATGATCTCATCTCCTGACCAAAACAACATTAGAAGGTTCTCTTAATACTCCCAGACGCCCTCTAATAATAACTACTAGCTAAGATAAGGGCCGAATGACTTTATCATGTAGCAGAATCAGTTAATGTAGAACTATGAGGACACTCCTGTTGATACTGTATCAAAATTAAACTTTAACTATCTAGACTAAGATCAGTAAGATTCTTAGTCACCTCTATAAGCCCAATCTCATTTTGCAAATTTCTCATAAGATTTCATATCCCCAGAGAGACTAAACAAGACTCTAAATGCTGGGGCTACAACTCATAGAAAGGAAAATAGTATTGCAAATATAAATAAAGATGCCAGCTTAATCTTGAATACATCGGGAGTAACTACTTTTGCTTAGTAATCAGCATTCGAATAATTCAGAACAAAACTTAACGAAAATCTAAAGAATCTTCAACCAAAGAATAACATTCCCAGCCAATTTATGGAGTTTCATCATTAGAGATAGCAATCTTTGGCAATCTAAAATGCATAGCCTTTATCTGTGAATATTTCACCTAATCCTAAGCAAAATCATGTTTAGAGCAAAGCCTCAGATCTTGAAAGCTAGAATTAAGTAAGAAACTTCTATCAAAGCAACTAGGTGAGTACTCGTAAATTAAGGTCGGACCCTAATGAAATATATCAAAGCATTCTTAATATGAACAGTCACTAGTAGTCTATCAACTAAATATAAAATGATCAAATACTTTTGAAATTCAACCCTTCAAGATACGATGCAAGGCAAAGAGAAAGTGCTTAGAACTTTGATCTAGCAGATCCAATGGAAATGGGGTCAACATTTAATTCCATTCAGAACTTTCACATGAAATAGTCTATTCACTAAATGATTTCAATAAAAGAGAATATAAACCCTCAACTATCACTGCAAGAATAAATCATCCATGAAACTTTTGATGATCATGATATAACCTTAAGGAAATCTCCAGAGCCCTAATCATCTAAGAATTATCAGCACAGTTCATAGTATCAGGCTTCTATTCCAATACTTTAATTCGATATCAACAGTGTTGAAGATAATGTTAAATTTGAAAACATGAGATAATCTAAAGATAAGAATAACTTAGAGTTCATATTGCAGACTCAATAATCTATAGACAACAATAATCACTTTTCAAAGAGGACAATGTCTCATAATGATCTAGTTTAGCTAGGCACAATGTCACAGCAATAAACACTAGGACCCTATCTTACTTAAAGATCCTAAAGCATTTAGTAATTTGATTTAATGAATACTGTAAATGAAAATAGCAATAGTAACAACAATAATAATCAGGTAAATCAAGTATAATTTGGCAATCAGTAAAATAAGTTTATAGATGCTTTCAAGTAATACGAAGCAGAAAAGATCAAGAAGCGTAAAAGCGATAATTAAGCCTGGAAAATAAACAACTTTAATTCTCAATAATCACAGACTTAGGATAAATTTGGAATAAAAGATTAGTTGTTATAGGGTGATAACAATTTCTTATCCTTTAACTAGCTCAATTAAAATTACTACTTGCAGACTTAGAATAGCACAATTCCTAATCAATAGAATTCTAAGGTACAGGTTAGATCTTCATCTCCTTAACCAGAATTTTTCAATTAAAATCATCAAAAAGCTAACCTAGGAGAGGCTGCTCAATCATGCTTAATAAACATTGATGATAATGATGAAACCTCCTCTAATGGATAAATAATAGAGAGAGAAGCTGAAGAAGAAGAATCTTTCATTATAGCAGATCATTCTAAGCATGTTAAGATGCCAAAGTAAAAGAGTCTTGCTGGCTTGTTCAAAGATGGTACAAACTATGATAATAATACCCTCTCTACAATTCTTAACCAAAATAACACTCAGGAAAATATCAATGAATCTAACTTCAACACAAATGCTGATAACAAGAACTCAAGATAAAAGAGTCTTGGGTCTCTAGGTAGAAAACCAAAGGAAATTGTAATCCAACTAGATATTTCTTAATATGCATCAGGCAGAACAGACGATAGATCAATGAATAACATCTCTTAATATGCAATTAATGACAAGTCTAGTATACTAAATGAGACCACAAGTAGAAATCTTACTTAGATTGGAGCTCCTAGCAAAAATATTAAATCGAAGTCGAAGACCAATTTCGGAAATGCCACTTTGAATAGCAACAACAGCACAAATAAAAACAATAGTACTTTGAATACTATTACTCAGAATGCCTAGAAAAATAATCAAAAGTCAAAAACAAGATATGGGAATGTGAAAAATTAAACTATAAATATTAAGAGTTAAACATAACAACTACTAATAAGTGAATTACTCAAGCAGCAGACTTCTAAAAATGGGGTTTCAAGAGTTAATAACCTAGTAAATAATAGTTCAGAACCCACAGGTCCTACATTGATTACAGATTTAAGAACCTAGACAAAGAGTAAAATCACTGGTAAAATTGTAACCAATCCTAGTACTCTGAATAACACTGCAAAGCATAAGTCAAGGACTAGAAGTAAAAATTTGATTTGAAGGCTATATTAAATGATGCCTTCTTAATTGATGAGTTTTAATTTCTTTAATTAATTATAGATTCGATATTGATATTTAATATTTGAAACCGGGGTTTTGGGGTTTTGGGG